TCCATCCATCCATCCATCCATCCATGTTAGAAGCACCAGCCCCATAGGCACATTGGGAAAGTAGAGCAAAGCCAGTTTGGGAGGGAGAGAAGGAGGGAGGGAGGGAGAGAGAGAGAGAGAGACCTTACGCATCAGGCCTAGTTTAGACTGAGGCCCTTTTCCACATTGAAACACTACCATGACAGCTTCAGTAGTTGGAATGCAGGTGAAGAGGGAAGTCACATCATAGGAAACCATGGTTTCATCGAGGTCCGGTTTTAGTTTCCAAATTTTTCTAGTGAAGTCCTGTGAATTGTTGATAAGATGGATCGTGTTGCAAACTAGAGGAGCTAATAAGGTGTTTAGATATTTGCAATGTTGTAGGTGACACAGTTGATGCTGCTGACAATGGGTCTGAGTGGAGTTCCCTCTTTGTAGATTTTGGGGAGTCCATATATGCATGAGGTAGCCTCCCCAGGGTAAAGAAAGAAGCCATCTATGTCAAAATCATCTATGTCAAAAATATGCCCTCTCTCAACTGAGGGAGAAGGATATGACATCATCTATCTCCAGTCTACAACACAGTCCTTTCAATAGTTCCAAGAAGCCTGCACACCCATTTGCACCATTCAGGTGACCTGATGATACAGATAAGCCTCCAGGTGACATTAACGACTCTCTAAAAGCATGCAAATGACCATCCAGTCAGAGCTGAAGAAGCTTTTTGGATGAGAAGCAAAACATCTTCAAAGAAAAACCAGAACGTCCAGTTGCTTCTTGAAAAAGTACCTTTGGGACAGCCATGACCTAGATGACTGAGAATCTCCATAGATATCAGACTTTTTGAGTTCACAATATGAATACAAGTGTAAGTATGTTTTTCTTTTCTTTTGCTTCTACAGTTGATCACATACTGGGAAAAGACATTCAAAATTGACCTGTTCAAGCCTCAAATTGGTGTGGTGAATGTCACCGATGTGAGTATCAGCTGACTCAGTTTCAGTGGCCTTAGCATCAAGGCTACTGGATCTGGCTTTGTGCGTCATTATAACTTTGAAAGATACCTAAATGAAAGTTTGTTAAATCAAGGACTACCTGTATTTTGCTGTCACAGTCAGCTCCTTAGTGATGGATGCCTGTCAAGGACGTGTCTATTTCTGCAAACATGGATAGGCAATTTGTATTCCTTGGCTTAATTGTAAAAGCCCTATCTGTTGTGAAACTTCTGGGAAGATTATCTCTGTGTAGGGTTCTGGGGAAAAAAACTCAAGATAATAAGAGTGAGAAACAAAAAGAGAGGTGCAGGGAAAGGCAAAGGATGTCTCCAACAGCAGATGGGCAACTTATCCTCTATTCTTGTTCCAGTTAGTATTTATCAACAATTGTGATTATCCCAAATTTCTGGAATAATTCAAAGGAATTTTATTTTAGCATGTGTATCTTAACAATATGATAATTTTAAAAATGATTATTTGCCATTTTTATTTGTTAACATGTATCATATGGTCATGTAGTATTACTACTTATATTTGAAAGCTTTTGTATTCAGTTTATAGGGAGGAAATGTAGGATGGAATCCACAAATGATTTTTCCGTTATTTCCAGTTTCCTAAACTCCCATTTTATAAGTAATTGGAGAAGATATCAGATTTAAACTTATTTTGCTCCAAAATTCCCAGTATTCTGTGAAGAAAATGTTCACCCTTCCTTTCAGGCTGACAGTGTCTGGATGGACATCAGGGATGATGATGAACTCCCTACAGTTGAGGAATTAGAAGATTGGATAGAAGATGTGCTTTCTGGCAAAATAAACACAGAAGATGATGATACTGATGATGACGATGATGACGATGATGACGATGATGATGATGATTAGGGTATTAGCTCATTGAATACTGAGCACCAAAATCTGTGTGCCTCAAGATACTACGCCTTACAGTATTTCTCTTCTAAAGGGAAAATACTGTTCTTTTTGACTTCTAAGGGTCATTGAAAATTCATAGTCTTGATCCCTTTTATTTGACCCTCTTCCCAAATACCATCTTCTCTCTTCTGGCTTCCACAATATGTACTCTATACCAGTAAGTCAGAAATTATTATTTAATTGTGCAAGCTCAGCGTTTATGCTCCCTACCGGAAACTTTAAATCTATGAATATGTTTGTTCATAAGAATAAGAGAAAATAAAGAATTATATAATAGTTCATGAGTTACCAAAGTCATTTCTACCCTACACTACTCCCAAAAGAGTGGCTTTTCAAGATGTAGAAAATGGAAACAGTGGAGAACAATAGGCCTTTTCTCCCTGTTCTTCTGTCCCTTGGGATTATGGGCTCATATTTTCTCCATGTGCCATTTGTGTAGGACATGTCCTCTATAATGGAATTTCAGTCTTTGAGTCAAACTGCTGCTGAAGTTGATTGTTTTCCTGTTTCCTGCTACTTACTTTCCTGACAGCAGCAGTAGAGATGACACACACACCCCACCCCAATTTTAATGGCCTCATTTCTGAGATTCAGTAAGAGGAACCCTGTGTGGTAGCACTTTCCCAAGTGGCATACTTTCTTCCCATCTTGGAGACCAGAGGAAAACAAATGGCAGGGGATGTGGGGTAGAGTCCATTTGGCTTTCTTTTGGAATAACTTGCATTTATTCTCCAAATGGGTCTAGGACAATTTGCCGCAGCCAGCTCACCATGGCCATCTTGCCATGGCTATCCATGCAATTCGATATTTGACATTATTTCCATTGACAAAAATGGAAATAATGTTGGAGAAACTGTGGTGGATAACATTTATTGTGTTGAGTTATCCCACATAGAATTTTCCATGGTGAATAGTTTCACGGCAAGTTGGTCATGATGAGATGGCCGGGGTGAATTGTCCCGTTCTGCTCCAAACACCAAAAGGAAATAATTGGGGAATCACCAGTAGTGACTGATGTTGAAATTGCTTGATTCAGAATATGTATTTCCCATACTTTGTAATGCTTATGTTCTATTCTTAGAATCTGTCCAATTGAAATGTAAAAAGAAATTCTGATTGATGCAGGATTTCATTTCATCTTACCTCATTTCTGTGCTTATCAATACTCAGTCTGCAATAAAGCTATCTGGGCCATCCAACACTAGCCTGCTTTCTAGAGGCTGATATCCAAGTTTCCTCCTCGATAATCAAAATATGATTAGCCAATATGAGAATACTCTGTGTAGATGATTGATCAGGATTCCCATTTCCATTAAAACTCCATGTGCACATATAACTTTTTTATTTATCCAATTAAACACAGACTACACGCTTGGAAGGGGCATTGGAGGTCTTCCTAGTCCAACCAGGTGCTTGAGCAGGAGATCTTATACCATTCCAGACAAATGGTTGTCCAATCTCTTCTTGAAAACTTCCAATGATGGAAAACCCATAATTTCTGGTTTATATCACCAGCAATCATGTTTCAAATTATGTGCAGCTGATATGTTATTATCTGAAGGTCTTTCCCTTTTTGCACCTACTAACTTTACAAAAATTGATCTTGCAACATTGTTTTCTGCCACATTTCCATGATGTTGCCTTTGTCTTATCCTGGAAATTTCTCATGAGTGAGAGGGGCTTGTCGTCATTGCTCTACCAGTGATAGCGTTTCTCCATTTATTTTGTCCAAGGAAAATGTCGTGATGTGCTATGATTGATAACAAATTTCATGTTGGGTAGATGAGTTAATGCTTTAATTCAGCAATGGGGAAAGCCCCAAATATAGTCACAGAATATATTTCTTATAAGCTTTTCATCACTCTTACTGGTACATTGAAATTATTAGTTGAGATGAACTGGAAAAAGAATTATTTTTCAAAATGAAGTTATTTATTCACCGGACTTCCTGATTTCAGTCTAAACATCTCATACTATTTTCAAATGTCTTGGGGTTTTGCTTCAAAATGTTTTATGACAGCCCTATTCTAGTTTCTCCAAAAGGGGAAGGATTGTATTGTAAGCTTGGTCTGTAATGCTGTCCATGCTGTCACTGTTATTTTATTCATGTATTGTATGTTTAGAAAAGGTCACCTTTCTTCATGCAACTTTATTGCTTTGTCATGTGATTGGATCTCCAATTGTGCAGGGATTTCAATTGCATTAAACATCTGCATCTGATAGATGGATGGGGAGTTTGATCCAACTCCCCCACCCACAAATTTTATGGTAGTCACCAGATGGGACACTACCATGTCCAATTTTATGATTAAGCAAACACTGCAGTTGTTAAATGAACACTGCAGTCATTAAGCAGACTTGGCAGTTGTTAAGCAAACCTGTTTTCACCAATGGGCAATTTTGCTGGAAATTGTAAGTAAACCAGAAACCGGCAAAATCTGCTAAAATTGCAGTTATGTGATCACAAAATACTGCAAACAGCTGAAAGTGTGAGCTGATTGTTAAACACCCAAAATGTGATCCAGTGACTGTGATGGGTGACACAGGTCATAACTTTGAAAATGGGTTACAAATAGCTCTGTGAAGGTCTGTCATAACTTTGAATGATTGCTAAGTGACTGGTCAGTAAGTGAAGACTACTTGCATTAGTATTATTCTTGGAACATTACCCTGAAACTGTTAATTCCATAGAGTCAGCATCTGAGGCAGCTCATGGCTTAGGATTTCTAAGCTTCAGCCTCTTTTTTTCATACCATGAACTATGTTGAATCTGGACCTGTGAATGAGATCCCAGTTCAGTGCTTTCTTTTACCAGCAGTCATTAATCGAGAACACTACTGCCTAGCCAGTATTGGACATTGTGCCTACAGGTCTTCAAAAGGATAGAAGTTATGACTGTTCAGAAGAAGGAGAAGTAATGCCTGTGTGTCCTGTTCCCTTGCTTAAATTGGTTTGATATTGCCTGTGAATAAGTTCCACCAGGATCCTACTTTTGTTTGGTGATATCAAAAGCACCTGGGCAGTGAGGATAGAAGAGTGATGCTATTCTTTGCTCCCAGCTCCATTCATGTAACTGTCCTATTGTCCCAGACAAATGTCAAGTAATTTTGATGCCCAAACATTAACAATAAGCAAGTACTGCATTTAATGCCATTGTTTTGGGTTTTGGTTTGTGAGGCACTGAGCATTGTTCATATTATCATCTCTGAATATAATTTACTTGGACACAAATACACTTCTGTTGAGAGTTACACACTGTGCTAAGCCATAAAATGATTGCAATTTTATGGATTAGGGAACATCTGAGTCCAGTTAATTGTGGCTTATGTAGGGTTAAGCAAACCATATGTCTTTGTGCTATTTCACCATTCTCCCACAAGTATTTTTTCTTAAACATAATGCTGCTAATAAGAAATATGAATCTGAATTTCATATATGGATATATGGTTGTCAAATATATGAAGTGTTATAATTTCACACATTGCAATGAAGATCTAAAAGAAGAAAATATGTTTTGCTGCTTTATGACAAAGGAAGTAGTTTTAATCAGGAATTTTCCCATTGAACTTTGTAGTTCTGTTTACCCTAGCTAATTCTTCTTGCTCTCATTTTTCTTAGATATGATTAGAAAGTATGAAGTATGTCACTCATCTCAAGTGACTTTTGGTTGCTGAAGAGGGTACATATCTAAGAACTAACACAGACATTTCATTGTTTCATTATTTGACAGTTATTTTTAACATAATAGGCCAATATAATGTGAAATATATCCAAATGGGAAAAATATTACACATAAGAAGGAAAAATTTCTGGATACTGCTAGGAAGTAGCCATGAAGATACTAAATCTTGTTTAATGCTCTTCCAAAGAGGAACATAATTATTTTCAAACAGTTTTATATTTGTATTTGTCAACTTAACCCCTAAGTATTTCACCTTTTTCTCAACCTTAAAGCAGGGGTGGGATTCTACCAGTTCGCACCTCTTTGCTAGAACCGGTTGTTAACATTCTAAGCAGTTCGGAGAACCGATTGTTAGAAGAAATTACTGGCCTAATCCTGTAAGGAAGGCAGGAAGGAAACATTCTGGTGTTGCTTACAGAAACTGCCTCTCCGTTAACCCTGATTACATTCTTGGCAGGACTAGACTTCCTGTCTCAGGAACTTCTCTGGAGTTTTTTTTCCTTCCTTTGCTGGTACTTTGCTTGTGTGGAGTGACCATTCAAAGTTACAATGGCACTGAAAAAAGTGACTTATGACCATTTTTCACACGTATGACTATTGCAGCATCCCCACAGTCATGAGAGGCCAGGCAAGAAGATGCGTGCCTCGAGGTTGAGTTGGCCATGCCCAGCCAGTCACATTACCACCAAGCCACACCCACCAACTAAGCCACGCCCACAGAACCAGTTGTTAAAAAAATTGAATCCCACCCCTGCCTTAAAGCCCAACCTGCAACTCTCAAAAGGACAAGATTCACACTTTTTCTTGATGGACACTAACAAGGTTGACAAATCTTGAGAAAAAGAGAAGTTTATAACTACTTGATACACCTTCCAGAGAAAAAAAAGATTTTACTTCATGAAGATAAGCTGGAAGGAGTGGTTTAAAAATGAGTCAGTTGGCATTAGGATGGATTTTTATCAGTCTGATATTTGTAATTGAAAGTTTTAATGTAAAGTGGGTTTGAAAATGTGTTTTCCCTTTATTTAGTGTTTAAGTAATTCTCAAAGTTTTTAAAATATTACTGACAATATATTTGAAAGTCCCTTAAGAGGAAGTTAAAGAAAAAGATGTATCAGCTTAAAAGTTTAGAGTTTTAAAAACGATGTACACAAAAAGAATTTTTATTTTATAAGGGTAACTCGAAAAGAGTGATTTAAATTTGATGAATTAATTGGAGTTAGGATTTTATTAGTCTGATTGAAAGTGAAAAAGGATGTATGTTAAGAGGAAGTTTTAAAAAAAGAACTTTTTGAATTTAGACATGTTTTTAAAGAAACGCTTAGTGTTTTAAAATGGATAAAAATATATTTTCTCTTTAAGGTTAAAGTATCCGAAAGAATATAGTGAATTTTTTAAATATAAACGGTGATAGTTTATAAAGATTAAGTGCAAACAGATATAAGTATGTTCAGAGAGAGGCAGAAAAAGCAGAAATTGTTAAATTGATTGCTTTATTCAAAGGAGAATATGTTTATGTTTTTCATTTGGAAATCACTTCTGGATTTTATGTTTATGATGAAAAAAAATGAAACTTATACTTTGGTTTTGCCAATTAGATAGATTTAATGTTATAGAAATTATTAGTTATATACTAACATGTAAAAGTAAAAAGCTGAGGCTGTAATATTATCTTCTACTGTGCTAAAAGAGTCTGAAGTCAGTGCTTTTTTTCTTTTTTCCCTTGTGCTCCATATTTTCTCACCCCCTCTTTTTCCTTCCCCTAATTTCCTATTTCTATTTTGGTTTTTCCTGCCTGCTTTTCTCACCACTGAATTCCGTATTATTGGATAGGACCCAATGCTCAAGTCTGTCAAG